ACCAAAAATCTAATAAAGTTTTTACATCAAAACTTTCCATATTCATAAGATAACTTATTTTTATCTCAGTGATGTCATCTCAGAGCTACCCAATGCAATGCAGATGGATCATGGCTGGTGGGAGGGGCCGGCAGGTTGCTGTGCATGGCTTCCTGAAAACATCACACCACCCTCCCTCAGTATTCTTCTCAAGAGCCCTCAGCCCTGATGCAAGCAGTGGGCGGGCACTTGGGAGGAGTTATGCAAATATCAAAATGCTGTTGCATGTTCCAAGAGCCTTGAATCTTTGGAAGTTCTCATCTAGAAACTCTGCCTGTCCCGCCCTCTTCCACCTCCTGAGCCATCCTATTGGTCAGTAAGGCCGCTCATTAGACAGGAAGGGGAGGTCAACTCTCAACACTGCTGGGAAGTATTGAAGTTTGTATATTAGAGCAGACATGAGATTTGGGAATCCAGGGACAAATGAAGGACCTTAAAGTGCATGTACATTTTGCTTTGCCCATTGCAAACCTTTCTTGACTTTTTTTTTCTTTCGACAGCCGTGAAAGCAGAACCCAAGAAGAAGGAAGTACCTACCGTGTCCGGGAAAGTAGAAGAAGAGGCCAAGAAGGAAGGGGCCAAGGGGGGCAAGAAAAAGGACGGCGAGAAGGGCAAGGAAGAAGGGAAAGGCGACGGGAAAGAAGCAAAGGAGGGAGGGAAGAAGAAGGAAGGAGAGAAGGGAGCAGCTGATAAAAAGGGCAAAAAGGACGCAGCAGCAGATAAATCGGGCACCGCCGCAAAGTCTGGCGGCAAAGGTGGCGGCGATGCAAAAGCAGGAGGGAGCAACCCGAAATCTGCCGGGAAAGGTGGAGGGGGCGACCCGAAATCTGCCGGGAAAGGTGGAGGGGGCGACCCGAAATCTGCCGGGAAAGGTGGAGGGGGAGACACAAAAACGGCAAAGAAGCCGCCTGCTAAAAAGTGAGACACTTTCCTCTACGGATGTAAAAAAATGCGCTGCCAAGAAAACGCTCCCACTGTATTTTTTATGCACTCTGAGATGGAGGCGGGGCTTAGTGAAAGTGGGCGTGGTTTTGCCCAAATTGGTGCAGGAACTGGACGGATAAGGCGAAGGTTGAAGTGTTTCGATTGGAGACTTCTATTGTCTCAAAAGGAAAGACAGTTTTTTTGTTTTTTTTTGTACAATTTGTTGAGTTTGTCATTAAAATTATATTCTTTGTATTAAAATAATAAACGCAAATTAAGAAAAACATGTAAAATATAAACAATGTTATTAATGTTCACAATGCTGAAATCAAAGACATGAAACGTATCCCATGAAGGGGCATAAAAACAGTACCCATATGTGTCAGACTGGACACCCTCCATAGATCATACGTACCAACTGTATGGTACCAGATCACACCCACTTTATAGAATGGTCATGCCCAGACCTCAGCTCTAAATATGTGGGGTCTGGCCATCAAGCCCAATTTTGGGTTGGCCTTGCCTAGACCCTGCCTCTAAATGTGTAGGGCCTGCCCATTACACCCATTTTATGGGTTGCTGTCGCCCAGACCCTGCCTCTAAATATGTGAGGCCTGCCCATCAAGCCCAATTTTGGGTTAGTCTTGTCCAGAACCTGCCTCTAATTGTGTGGGGGCTGCCCATCATGCCCACTTTCAATAGAATGGTCATGCCAAGACCACAGCTCTAAATATATGGGGCCCGCCATCAAGCCCATTTTATGGGTTGGTCTTGCCCACACCTTGCTTCTACACACCCACTTTATAGAGTGGTCATGCCTAGACCACAGCTCTAGATATGTAGGGTCTGCCCATCACACCCACCTTATAGAATGGTCAAGCCAAGACACCAGCTCTAAATATGTGGGCCCCTGCCCATCACACCCACCTTATAGCATGGTCATGCCCAGACACCAGCTTTAAGTATGTGGGCCCCTGCCCATCACACCCACCTTATAGCATGGTCATGCCCAGACACCAGCTTTAAGTATGTGGGCCCCTGCCCATCACACCCACCTTATAGCATGGTCATGCCCAGACACCAGCTTTAAGTATGTGGGCCCCTGCCCATCACACCCACTTTATAGCATGGTCATGCCCAGACACCAGCTTTAAGTATGTGGGCCCCTGCCCATCACACCCACTTTATAGCATGGTCGTGTCAGGACCCCATCTCTAAATATGTGGGGCCTGCCCATCACACCCACCTTATAGAATGGTAATGCCCAGACACCAGCTTTAAGTATGTGGAGCCATGCCCATCACACCCACCCTATAGAATGGTCATGCCCAGACACCAGCTCTAAATATGTGGGCCCCTGCCCATCACACCCACTTTATAGCATTGTCGTGTCAGGACCCCAGATCTAAATATGTGGGCCCCTGCCCATCACACCCACCTTATAGAATGGCAATGCCCAGACACCAGCTTTAAGTATGTGGAGCCCTGCCCATCACACCCACCCTATAGAATGGTCATGCCCAGACACCAGCTCTAAATATGTGGGCCCCTGCCCATCACACCCACTTTATAGCATGGTCGTGTCAGGACCCCAGCTCTAAATATGTGGGCCCCTGCCCATCACACCCACCCTATAGAATGGTCATGCCCAGACACCAGCTCAAAATATATGGGGCCTGCTCATCATGCCCAATTTACGGATTAGTCTCGCCCACACCCAGCTCTAAATATGCGTGGACGGCCGAGAGGGGGAATGTCCCTATTGGGGCAATAAGAACCTAACAGGGGTTCGTCTAACTCCTCGCCACTGTATCCAAAAAGAAACCAGTTTTAGCTTTAGATACACTGTAATATTATCTCCATATATAACAATGTATTGTATGTTGCTATAGTACTTATGTTTGTATATCTATGGAGGGGGTCCAATTTGCTTTCAATATCCTAATACATTGTAAGAGCTTGCTTTAAATTTGCACCTTGGGGAATTCTTAACATTTTTATGATTTGCGCAGCCACTTTGATCCCTTTTATTTTTACTGAATGTTATCTCATCTATACAGCAGCAGCTGTCGGGCTGTCATGTACGTATTAAAAGTCACACATTGACGTTTGCTCTGTAAATACTGTAAAAGTGGTTTATAGTTAAATGGCAGCAGCTGTAATAGGAAAAGACACGCTGACACCTTCAAGCCCAATTAAAAGCGAACTTTTATGCATTCAGGCTGCATAACAAGTAAAGGAAATGGCTGTTTTTAATACTATGGGGTCTGTTTATAAACAGTTGGCAGAGCCATTTATCCTGCCAAGCTCTGTAAAAGTTTCTTCCGTGCAAATAGAGGCAAAATTAAAGGAGAACTATGAGGGGGGTGCTTTTCACTCACCTCATAGTTCTAGCCGACCTGTGACAATGAGACTTTCACAGGTCGGCTCAGTAGATCGGGAGGTGAGCGAACACATAACGGCGTTCGCTCACCTCTCACCTCTCGATCTTGTCACGGCTCTCTGCCGTGACAGGGGAGGGGCTGGATTCCCCCCGCTCTGATCCGCCAGAGCTGACTGGCGGAATGGACGGGGGAGGGGGCGGGTACAGCTGGTTCTGCCTCTAGATAGGCAGAGCCAGCTGTCACTCACGCAGCTGGGCGGATCTCGACATCGATGTCGGGATCCGCTTCAGCTGCGGCGTCTCAGTATACCGCAAGCTGTAGCTCCCTATATACTGAGCTTAGGGTGACGGGAGGACGCTAGTTTGTGTCCTCCCGTTACACTAAGGAGAACTATGGGGAAAAGCCCTGACCCCATAGTTCTCCTTTAAATGTCCTTAGTATGTTTTCTTCTCAGGTCAACTGTAACATCCATTATGGCCACCAGATGGCATTACAAACCATAGGAAATAAGTATTTATGACCTCCTCAGCTCCATCTAGTGGCCAAGATGTGTTATTACATTACATTACCTTTCACCTGAAAAGAAAAGACACTAACCACGTTCGGTTTTTTGCCTCTATTCGCACAGAAGGAATTTTCACAAAGATTCACGGGGCGAATGGCTCTGCCAATTGTCCATCAATAGACCCCATAGAGAAGGTAAAATCTGCAAAGCGACTGTTCACTTGGAGAAAAAGGAGGTGATGGGATTACTGGAATAACAAATCATGCATGAGGGAAATAAAAGAACTGAATCTTTGCTTGTAAATAAATGAATGGATGACATGAACACAGCTTCACCTTAGCTAAGCTCAGTAGGCATTCACTTTCCAAATGCTCTACTCTTTTAGTAAATCAGCCTTGGCGCTTCATGCAGGAAAGAGCTTTTGCGAACCTTTTTAGTTGTGAATAGAATGGGGTGAGGGTGAGGAATCTATTGGTGTCCCTACTTGGAGACAAGCAAAACAAATGGCAAACGCACTCATCAACTTATCACCAGCTTTGCAGCAAGGTGCACACGGAATGGGCTATATACAGTACAAAAGCAAAAAGTTGCCCAGCATACTCATCAGCCGGCATGCAAAAAAACCTGTCTGACCGCTAAGGTTAAAAACAAAGGTTTTAGATACACGTCCTCTGCAGAAAATGTGAAAGCCGCACAGCCGCGCCAAGGCCCCTCTGTGTAGTGCGGTCCTAACTCTAAACCATGAGAGTCTCCATCTTGGAGCACATGGGGCAAAAGATTAAATTGGGTGCAGGTTTGTCAGGAGGAAGCCCGACCTCCCTTAAAGGCACAGGGACACAACCAGGGACCCCCCGCACATCACAACGGCAGCTGAGACAGCCAATGCGTCACTGCACCAAATCAATCAAACAAAACAAATGGCAAACGCACTCATCAGCTTATCGCCAGCTTTAAAGCAAGGTGCACATGGAAGGGCTTTATACCGTACAACAGCAAAAAGTCGTGTATCTAAAACCTCTGTTTTTAACCTTAGCGGTTAGACAAGTTTTTTTTGCATGCTGGCTGGTGAGTGTGCTGGGAAACTTTTTGCTGTTGTTCTACTTGGAGACATTCCCATCATTTTCTGTTGTGTCACATACTTAGGTACTGAAGGGAAATCTTCCTCCGCAAGAAGGAGCAGAATACGAGGTGATTAGGGTTCTAACTCTATTAATGACATCCAAAAACATCTTTATAATTTGCTGCTTGGTGCTCCAGTATTTGTAAAGTGAAGTTAAGTAGACGACTTACACTCAATGCAATGGGAAGGGTTGGAAGTTAGAACTGCACTACTAAGCAGCTGAGAGTAGGCATTGCTCCCTTGTGACTGAGGATTAACAGGTTAAGCTCATGTTTAAAAGAGAACTATGGGGTCAGTGTTTTTCCCCATAGTTTTCCTGAGGGTAACAGGAGGACACAAACTAGCGTCCTCCCGTTACCCAAAGCTCAGTATATAGGGAGCTACAGCTCGCGGTATACTGAGACGTTGCAGCCGGGACGGATCCCGACATTACTGTCTAGATCCGCCCAGCTGCGTGAGTGACAGCTGACTCTGCCTATCTAGAGGCAGAGCCAACTGTGCCCGCCCCCTCCCCCGTCCGTTCCGCCAGTCAGCGCTGGAGGATTGGAGCGGGGAGAATCCCTGCAGGGAGCCCTGAGTGACAGTCACGGCTCTCTGCAGGGACATGATTTACAAAAACAAAAGCTAGCGTCCTCCCGTGACCCGAAGCTCAGTATATCGCAAGGTACAGCTCACGGTATGCTGAGACCGCCGCAGCCGGGACGGATCCCAACAATACTGTCGAGCTCCACCCAGCTGCGTGAGTGACAGCGGGCTCTGCCTATCTAGAGAATCCCTGCTGGGAGCCGTGACTGACAGTCACGGCTCTCTGCAGGGAGATGATTGAGAAGTGAGCGAGCGACGGTATGTGTTCCCTCACTTCACAATCTATTGAGCCGACGAGTGACAGTTTCATTGTCACACGTCGGATAGAACTATGAGGATGAGTGATTTTCACTCCCCTCATAGTTCTCCTTTAAGCCTCCTTTAAGCGATGCATTAATGTGCGT